TAAGGAAAATATCTAATATAAAATATAGCTGCCACAAGAAAAAACTAAAGTTCAAATAAAAAGATTAAGATTAAATTCACCTTTATTCAGTTTTAATGGTACTATGTGATCATATCAAACAGAATTTAACTTGCAGCCTATTCTTTTTTAACCAGATTCCCTACATCATGACCCATTTCAAACTGGATTGGCATGTTTGATCTGTGATTTGAATCTAAACAAATGCTGGATAATGCTCAAGAACGTTGCTTTTAGAAATATTTTCTTTGAGGTAAGCTAGCCAAAATTTTGGTTTTTCCTGGCCAAGTTATCAAGTTGCTTCAGTGCTTGTATGCTTAACTATATTTATCAGAACAAAGTTCATTTTCCGACAAAATGAAACTAAAGCCATCTTTTAACTCTCATTCTAAAAACCTTCTTCTCCCTCAAATGTGGCCACTTTTGTTTTTCAAGACCCTCTTCTTTATTCTCCTTTTCCCAAAAAGCCTCTTGAATTGGGTTCTACCTAGGTGATCCACCAGTTCTTAAAACATAATGCAAGTGTGGATCCCTGGGAAAAGACAGCAGATGAAACACATGCATATAATTTCACTAACTTTGAAAACCTCAGTAAAACTACAGAACAGTTTTTGTTCTGTTTTTTAAGACAAAAGCTAAAGGTATATACTAGGCACACGTTCCAGCTGGATGCCGAATGGCCAAGCGTTCAAATCAATAGCAGTGACACCAAATGTCACCATGATATAATGAACTTCTAGGATACTAGAATAAATGTAAAACTTATTCAAATTTTAAAAATTGTGTTGCCATTTTATTACTAAACGTTTTAGAAATCATTTCTTAGCACTGAGAGCTTCTCTAGATTGATCCTGCGGTCACGATACTTCATATTTGTAATACTACACAGAGGCCCACTTTCAAACACAGTCATTAGAGAATCGAGATTGTTTTTGGCTAGTTTTGCCAGTCTAGATACTGCTGATAATGACAGTGTTACCAAATTATTTGGCATTCTTTCCTCTCATATAACATTTGGTAAGATAAAAGACTTCTCTTTAATTTCTGGGTTTGAAGATTTGGTTGATAGTGAGGATGCAATCTCATTAAAATAATTTCCTATTACATTGCTCGATGATGATGCTTTGTAAATATTTTAAGGTGAATCCAAGATTGTTGCCCTAACACATATCTTTCATTTTAATATTTTTACACATACTTACTCCTTCACATGATAACTTGAGAAAATTTTGTTTTTAAACCTTAGATCTAAAAGCATAACAATAGAGAGATGTAACTGGCCTCTAAGACACAGACACACAGAAAAGAATTTCCATCTATATCTCAGCTTTTATTGCATCCATGCCAATTTCAGCATCTTCTCAAGGGCAGAATGATAGGGTTTTTAGAGAAGATGTCATTTAAGACACACTTGTACGCTTCAAGGTACATCTACCTGGCTATTTAAGAGAATTCCAGTAAAAAAACTGTTTTCTCCACAAGCAACCACTGGTTATTAGTAAGTCCTATTACTGTTACCTTCAGAGTAAAATATTAAGGCTATTTTGTTGAAACAACTCTTTATAATACATAAGTTCTCTTCCACCTTGTTTTATTTTTATTTTTTTAATTAAATTTATTGGGGTGACACTGGTTAACAAAATTATATAGGTTTCAAGTATAAGATTCAATAATACATCATATGTATATTGCGTTGTGTGTTCACCACCCAAAGTTAAATCTTCCAATACCATATATTTGATTCCCTTTGCCTTTATCTTGTTTTAATAGATTACAGAAATACATCATATGGCAGCTTCAGAATCTCTTCTATGTCATGTAATTTTTCTTAGGCCAGAAGTTTTCATTCGGGAATCTAGAATTAGCTAAGAGGGGTCACAGCTCTGAGACCCATGGCTTAGAGGGCCCTAGTTTGGCCCTCCTTCAGCTATGCCCCACCTCACAAGGTCAAGAGCACATAGAGCCCAAGGAATGTGCACACTCAGAGCCTGTGCGTCATCCTCTTCTAGGTCGTGCTCCAGATACCTGGGACCATAAACTTTCCTGACCAAATGGCCTGGAGGCCAATGCCAGGGCATCATCCTGAAATTGGTCCTTCTGAAGGCAGATCCTGTCACCACTGGTGCATACCCAACGCAAGGAGCACTCAAGGGGTGGCTGTTTACTGGAGGTATAGAAGGAGCTTGGACATGGAGCCTGAGCTATGTGTGAGGTCTTTCAAGGTGCAGGACATAGAGCCAAGGGTGGGGAAGAAAGAGGGGCAGGACTCAGACCAGGGACTAGCTTTCTCCACAACACCATGTTCCAAAGCAGAACCCAAGAAGTCCAAGAATTCATTGGACTTCCAGATCTTCAAAAGGATATTATCTGCCAAAGTAGAAAGACAGGTATATTTCCTTTAATCTGTAAGTTTGTTGTATAATTTAAAACTATACAGACATATATTATATGGGGCTCCATTAATGGGCCACCATTTATATCGCGGACCAGGCCCATCTGTTGAAGTGAATCTGTAGAATGCTTAGAAACATGACATTATTACACTGACATCATTACACTGATTAGATACAACAATAACCTGGAATGGTCTTTTCCCAGATTTTGATAGGGTTAACTCACTTTATCATTCAGGTTCCAACTTACACATCACCTTTCAGAGAAGTCTTCCCTAACCACTTAACAAACAGCCCTCATGAATCACCCTTCATCACATTAACCTGTTTTATTTTCTTCGTTGTCTTGACCAATATCTGAAATCATTTATGTAAACTCTATGACAGCAGAAACCTTGCCTGTCTCGTTAATCATTTATAGACTATAGATTCTTATTTTATGCCACAGGTTATTATCTGTAACTATCATTTATTTTGTGGCTCAAATTGTGCCAGATCTGGTTAGTATCTAGTAAGTTACCTGTGCATCCTTTTGTCATGTCCTATTTTTTTTTTTCTTTAACCACATCCTTACTTTCTGACCCCACAAGATATTCCAGGATCATCTTACACTTTTATGCCCCAGCCCAAGGAGCTTAGTTTCTATTATTCTCCATTCCCTTTAATATTCAATAATTGCAATGATTACATGCAAAATTATAGACTAAAGTGAACTTAGCAAAGTAATTCTACTCTATGAGGTTTGGCTCCACCTTAATGACTAGCTGATATCCCCAAACATCATCTCTAGGTCACCAGTTAACTACAGAGATAAGCAACAGGATTATACCCATAAATAATAATTTTTTAAATAAGGACTATCAAACGTTTTAAAATATCAAGTACCAAAAATATTGTGTATGGGCACTAAGACCAAGAACATAGGCGAGCACCTTTACAAGGTAGAGGAGGAGATGATTAAGTTTTGGTCACCGATGTTATTTACTAATTTTATAAACTCTGACACAGTTATCCTCTGTAGGTAAAAGAGAATGTTCTAGAATGTAGCTTATTCCCTTATGTACTTACTAGTTCTGTGTCCTTAGGAAAGTTACTCAACTGTTCTAAGCCTCAGCTCCTTCTCTGTACAACAGGAATAACAGTGCTTATTTCATTGGGTCATTTATAAGACATCCTTGTAAAGCAGTTAGCACGGTCTTGGCACATTATGAGAGCTCACTAATACCTAACATTTCATTATTGTCCTGGGCAGAGTATGGCTATATGACCTTTACCATACAAGAAAGGGGCTTAACACGTTCCATAGAGCTTTATTTTATTTAATGCATTTCTTTTCCAAGCATGTGCTTTATTCAAGAAACCTTAAGGAACTCACAGTTGCCTGTGGGGGAAATGAGAGGGCAGAAGGAAGAGAGAATGTTCCATCAACAACACAGCTTCCTCCCAGTGGTTACCTTTAGATACACAATCTTTTCCCCCAGGTCATAGATAGATTCATTTGCAGTAGCAATAGAAAAAAATACCTCTTATACTACAGGCACTGTAATCGGTAATACCCTTAGTTAATTTCTGGCTAACATTCAATGGGGAGATGGCTCATCAGAGTGAACCGGACTAGATTTAACCATACTTGGTCCCACGATGGTGAAAACCCAAAGAATGTTATAGTGAGAAAACAATGTCTTTTGAGGCTTCTAAAAATAACTCAGAACTCTGCTAATGGAGATATTTTCAAAATGTTTAACCTTTCTGGATGACTATTCAGCAATATGTAACTAAAGCCTTAAAAGCATGCATTTTTTTCCGAATGGTAACCACAATCCTAGAATCACAACCCCACAAGAAATAAAACTGTATATATAAAAATATTCATTACATTGTTTATAATAGAAAAACACTAGAAAGAGCCTATATATCCAAAAATGGATGGTAGATTAAACTGTGGTAGAATTTTATACCAAAAAAGTACATCGTCAATAAAATAATGGCATATGTCTACATTTATTGATATGGAAAGATGATCATGATACACTGATCTTCAAATGGATATCATGGATTATAAAATATATATGATTCCAGTTCTTTTTTAGAATATATATTATATCTCTACATTATGATATACCTAACTATGTATAATTATAGCTATCCATCCAAGTAGAGAAGGATCTATACTAAAATATTAATAGTGATTATGTGTAGATAAAGAATTTGAGGTAGCTTTAAATATTCTTCTTTATGCTTTTCCCCCTTTTCTTCAGCTTTTACAATAAGCATGTATTACTTCTATCATCACAAAAAGTTTAAATACCAACCACTGAATCATAAAGAATCTCTATGTCTGACTTGTCCCATGTCTTAAGCACTGATGATAACTGCCAGATGCCCTGGAATAAAAGGGGGGCCTATAATTCTCAGATTAGACAACCCAGGGAACTCACAGGGTATCTTATCAGGCATAACTACTTAGCATAGCACTGAGGTCTAGAAATTTATCATATAAACAGAAGAAAAAAATTTTCCCTGACACAAGCTCTCCTTAATAGAAACAGCATATGTAATATACATACTTTGAGGTAGGCAAAAACTTACTGCAGTGGATAATCTAGATGCCAACGTCATTTCCAAGTTCCCTTTGAGACCAAGAAGTGCAGGAACTAAAATGAAAACTTCAGTTACTTTTTTGAACACCTCCCAGTGCTGTAAGAAAAAAAAAATAGAATTTTCTGACACACTTTAAAAAACATTTTAGAACAAAGACATTTCTAAAAGTCTCAGCCTTTTTTCTAATGTTGCATTTACATTTTGAACAACACATGGCATTGAATCAGTGAACTTTTAGCTTAACACCATCTCCAGAGCTCCAAAGCCTTGAGTTACTTTGGAAAATCCAGTTAGAGTTGGGAGTGACAGCTGATACAGTCACTATATCCCCAAATACATGTAACTTGCTACACATCTTAGACACTTAGAGTTTACTTTATCCTTTTACTATAGCAAGAATCAGTGTAATTAGTGGTTAAGAGCACAGACTCAAGAACCAGATAGAGGGGGTTTGAATCCTGGTTCCAACACTAATTACAACAACCCCACAGAAAATTATAGTAATATTATTATCTAATTTCACAAATGAAGAAATAAAGATTCAGAGAAGTTAAATGATTTTCTCAAGGTCAAAAGATGGGACCTAGATTTGACCTCAGGAGTTCTGAGTCATCCATGTTCCGGTCCCAATTTTAGGTTGTGAGGCAAAAGATTACAGAGCACAGGATCATAAAAAAAGCACTAAATTGGAAATTAGAAAATTTGTGATTCTAGGCATGGATCTTTTATAACATAGTTGTGTGATCCTGGATGAGTCACTCAATTTCTTCCTTTTCTGTATGATCTCAATTTCGTCATCCATGAAATTAAGATATTATCTGCCCTGTCTAGACCCTGGGGAAATACCATGATAATGAAAATAACAACTATTAAAGTACTTTATGAACCAAAAAGCCATACAAATGACTTAATAACGAAAAGTGCTATTTTACAAATGCTATTAAAAGGTGATTATACCAGTAAGAAACTTAATGGACTAAGCATGTTAATTTATGCCAAAAAATAATCAAGGACAAAGTCATCATTAGTACCAAGACAGGTGAGAAAAGCAAAATTTAAATCCATCAGATAAATGAAAGAAAAATTGATTTGTCCCCAAAGTTTCCCTAGTGGTTGCTCCAAATAGGTATAGAACTAGGGCCTAAAGAGGGTTTAGGAAATGTTTATCAGTTCAGTCTTAGGTAAAATCTTGGTTCAAAGGATTTGCAAGGGAATCTATCCACAATCAAGCCACTAAAAGATGGGCCTAAAAAAGCACTGGGAGTCCAGCAGCATCCCAGATCTTCAATTTGTCAAAAATGAAACATGTTTTTTTTGGTCCATATGCCACAATTAAGAATTCTGCTATGTTAGTGGGATATGCAGTTAAGAATTCTGCTATGCTAGTGGGATATGTATCCTATAGAGATGATAGTAGTGGTCATGGTGGTGATGATGATGATGATGAATAACAACAAATAATAATAAATATTAATAATATTCAACATTCACTGATTTCTTGTCATGTGCCAGGCACTGTTCTTTAGGCGTATACATTTAATCTTCACAACAAACCTATGACATTTGTATTATGTTTATCAGATCAGACATAATTTAAGTATATATTTTACTAGGTCATAATTTTAAGACATCTACCTATATAAGTTAATTTTCGAAACACGAGAATAATACCCAGATATCTCTATCGGTCACATGCCATCACATTTTAGATTTGTTGGGATACACTCCTTGGGGTTACTTCCAGCCATTCCAAGTTTAATTCAAATAAAATCCTCTCATGGGAATTACTGTGAAATTCTTAGCTTTGATATAACAATAATAACTATTAATTATTGATTTCCTATCTCATGCCAAATAAATTCTACATATTTTCCACTACATCCACAAGGTATGCTTCTACTTTCTCAGTTTACAGCAGCCTTAGTGTCTCAGACATGTTTTCATGGCACCCTTAAGCCACAAAAAAATACTTAACAGTCCTATTTATTAAGTAGCCAGGTCCAAACAACTTAATAACTATTTATTTAACAATTTAGTAGCCATTTTAAGAAATAATACGAACAAAGTGAAAGAAAAAATGATTTACATCACATAACCACAATTCCTTTCTAATGGGATGTGTGCACCTGTTGGGCACTGTACAACTTCTCAAACCTTGGAACAGGAGACTGCCACCTTCATTTCTTGTTCTATGTTAATTTCATATAACATTCGCTTTTTTTCACAGCACCACTGAAAACTAGCTTTGCAGAAATATATCAACAGAAATGGCGTGTGATTTAATGCTGAATTGTTGAACCACCTGGAGCCACTAGTCTGTAGAGCGTCCAAGAGAGTCATTGTGTTTCCCTCAAAAATTGAAAATACCTCACAGCAACTCTGGACTGTCCAGACACCCAGACTGGGAAATGTGAGAATAGCGAGAAGCCCTGCAACACGATAGTCAAAGCGAAGGGCTCTGGTGTCACATTACCTGAGCTGAAATTCTGCTTCTACTACTTTTACTGGCGACTGGGGCAAAACTCTAATTTTTGGTCTAAAATATGGACATAATTATACCTTCTTTACACGGCTGGACCCAGGACCGCACCTGTACACAGTAATGACTAACAATATTGAATGTTTATTATCTACGACACCAAGATATATTATCAGTTAATTTTCCTTCAAGAGGAAGTAATGCAAAAAAAAAAAAGTCCAAAAAGGGGATGCTGAGGCAGTTAGTGCCAAAAAAAGATTTCACCTGCTTACAAATTTTGCTGTGGTCTAGACATGTTCTGCGAGGCTATGCAGATTATTATGAACTGCTAAACTTCTCCACAAGAACCTACCCCACAGAAAATCAACTTCTACTCTTACCAAATTTGGGGCTTCTGTCAATATTCAGAATCTTAGGCAAGCAACCACACATCAAATGTAATGTCAGATTGCTTATATATGTACTCGACTTGAAACCTAAAAATCTATTAATGTCCAAAAGGAGAAACAAAAACGAAACTTTAAAAACAAGAGTAACAAAGTAAGTTGAGGAACATGTCCATAGAGTCCTAACTTAAAAATAAACGGAAAAGGTTTTTAAAAATCTAATTGGTAAAAGAAGTTTATTCAATTTTAAGAAACATACATACCCCAAATCTGGAGGTTTTGTTTCTCATGAGTTTAAAAAACTAAACCCATTCACTTTTAGACATGACAAAATGACCAACCTCATTCAAAATTACAAAAATGCAAATTAAAAGGTGATAAATTTTCATCTGTGAGATTGGTAAAGATTAAAAAGTTGGATAAACTGTTGATAAAAGTAAAGGAAACAGGCTATTGCTCTACTGGTGAGAGCTGAAAGGTTTAACTTCTTGGGGAGACTTTGGCAGTATCTGTCAAATGTAAATGCATGCAATTTTCAACTCAAGGCTCTACTTCAAGGAATTTATCCTTCAAATAAACCTGAACATGACTTCAAATACATACATACATATAATGAGTTTCCTTCATCACTGTTCATGATAGCAAAACATCTGAGGCAATTTCAATCTCCTTCCTGAGGTAACTTCATAAAAATATACTGCTACATCCTTGCCATGGTGTATTACATAACTAGAGAACAATGTGGGAAATCTGTGTAGGATTTCTCTTGGGAAATAGAAGCTCCACGACAAATTAAGAACAGCAAGGTGAAGAGAAGTACTGTAGGGTGTTTTGTTTGTATTTTTTACACGCATACATGTACATGCATTTAATGTCTACTGAAGGAGACACGGACAAAATAGTCACAGCAACCTCTAAGGGACCAGGAGAAGAGCACATCCGAGGGGAGAGCGACTTCCTTCCCCATTACATATTCTTTCATACCGCTTAAATATGCTTTACTAGGTACATATATATTACTTTTTTCATGAAACATTTTGCAATAATTGTAGATTCACATGCAGTTATAAAAAATAAAAGAGAGGTATCCCATTTCCCTTTACCCAGTTTCCACCCATGGTAACATCCTGCAAAACTATAGGACAATATCACAAAGAGGAGACCGACACTGATAGAGTTAAGACATAGAACATTTCCATCAGCACAAGGACCCCTCCTGTTGCCTTTTTATACCCACATCCACTTCTTTTCACTCCTAAACCTCTCCGTGATCCCTGGCAACCACTAATCTTTTCTCCACTTCTGTAATCTGATCCATTCAGGTATGTAATTAAATGAAGTAATGTAGTATCACCTTTTGAGATTGGCTTTTTTCACTCAGCATAATTCTCTGGAGATTCATCTAGGTTGCATGTATCAACAGTTTGTTCCTCGTTAGTGCTGAGTAGTATCCTATCACTTGGATTTACCTAACTCTTAACCATTCAACTGCTGAAGGACAGCTGGGTCATATCCAGTTCTTGGCTATTATGAATGAAGCAGCTATAAATATTCGTGTACAGGATTTTTACGAACATAAGTCTTCATTCTCTAGGATACAACTGCTAGGTTATACTTGATAGGTGGTGTTCAGTGTTCAGTTTGTTTTTTTTAGAAACTGTCACAGTGTTTTTCAGAGTAGATGTACCATTTTAAATTCCCACCAGCGATGTATGAGCAGTACTATTTCTACACATGCTCAACAGCATTTGCTATTATTACTATTTTTTATTATAACCATTCTGACAGGCGTATAGTGATATCTCATCGTGGCTCTCATTTGCATTTCTCTAATAGTTAAAGATATTGAACATTTTTTCATGTTTACTTGCCACACTCTTCGGTGAAATGCCTCTTTATGTCTTTTGCCAATTTTCTAATTTTTTTAACTGCTGAGTTTTGAGAGTTCATTATATATTCTAGTCTTTTGTCAGATATCTGGTTTGCAAACATTTTCTCTCGCTCTTTAGTTTGGCTTTTCATCCTTTTAACAAGGGCATTCACGGAATAAAAATTTTATTTGCTGAAATCCAATTTATCCTGTATAGATCATGCTTTTGGTGTCGTCTAAAAAGTTTTTGCCTTGTGCTAGATCCTGAAGATTTTCTGTTTTTCTAAAAGTTTCATAGTTTCACATGTTGTATTTAAAAGTGTAATCTATGTTGAGTTTATTTTTCTCTAAAGTGTAAGAT